CTGCGGCTCCGAGAATCAACTGACCTTTATCAACGTCCCGTCGTAGGGCTCGAAATTATTCGCACGCAATAGCAACATTGTGAATAAATGTTCCACGATGGATTCGTCGTGGTTAACGGAAGGAAGGAAGCGATCCCAAACTAATTTATACTTGAGGGATCTGCGCAACGTAAAAGCGCGGAATAAAACACACTCGTATTTCGAGCTGATCGATTTCGCGCTCGCTGAGACTGACGCGACAAAGAAAATGAGACACGACCGGTTTCGACGTCGACGAATGACGTCTTCGCGCATTTAAAAAGTTTTCTCCCCGTTAAGATGTATTCCCCAGAGTCGTTGTCGGCAAAATCTAACGAGAGAGTGCCATGTTCCGCACTGTTGTTTCTCCTTCCTTCTCTTTCCTCTTCTTGCCCTTTCCGCTCCTCTCTCTCTCTCTCTCTCTCTCTCTCTCTCTCTCTCTCTCTCGTTCTATTTCTTTCTTTCACTGTTAGAAACACATTTATTAACGGCAGCTCGGCTCATCCCGCCGCTAAGTACCGGTAAGAAAGTACCCTCCCTGTTGCTTTTCCTCTTAGCGAGAGCCTTCATTCACTTTGGTAGCTGTCTGCCGTCCCGTTCGGGAGCGGAGAAAAAAAAAGACGTCACATTGTCGACGCCTTATTAATCTGGAAACGAGGGTGAGACGTTGGAGGCTGCGAGCGAGGATGCTCAAGGGGTAGGGTCCTTTGAAGAAATTAAAAGAACAGAGGATATAATGTGAACACATCTATTCTCTCTGGTACCCGTCGCGCGTCGTCTCCTCTCTCTTTTCCGCCCTCCGCTTTTTCTTTCTCTCTATCTTGCGCTTCTCCTTTCTTTCTTCTCTTCCTCCCGCGAGAGCGGGACCCATTAACATTGCCGTTGCGCGCGAACTCTTGCGCTAAGCACCAGTCAGATAGACATCTCGTGCCTTGTCACGGTTTCTTAAAATCCGACTTATATATACCGGGGCTCCGTTTTCTTGACCCGTTTCTTTTTTTTTTTTTTTTAAAACGTTTTTCCCCATCTCCGCCTGGTCTCCTTCATTTTTAATACGCCGTCAAACAGTGAAATATCACGAGGAATTATTCGCCATTTTAGTGCTTTTATCCTGTCAGCCTTACATATATATATATATATTATTACCGTTCTGTAAGTTAGTAGAAGTATAACTTATCACCGTCGTTATCGTCATCGCAGGACACATCTATCTCTTAGTGTAAAATATATTATACACTCACACACAGTTTCCAACTTTGGAAAGCGTATATTTATATACCCCCGTGCGCGTTGCCCATTCGAATGGGCGACGCACCCCCTCTCATACATTTGTATCAATTCACGCTTCACATTCGGTAATAGGCGCATTTCTGCGGGCCCGAAGAGAGAAGTACGAGCATTTCGCGTGAAGAGCGGTCGTCATAATGTTAAGGCATCCTGCGTAAGGATGGCAAACGAGGACGTTAGCCGAATAATGCAAAGCAAACCCGAGCTGAGATATAGTCCAGCATTTGTTCATATTAAGGCGCCGTCATGGCCTCGCAATGTTCGCGTGTCGAGGGGTGGTGTCCGACCTCCCCCTTCTATCCGCGACATTTCGGCCGCGTGCCTGCGTGTGTTTTGAAATTATATAGCGCGAGAACGCCCGACGCGTCGTTAGTCAACTCGCGCCGCATCTCGCTGTTAACTATGTGTATCTTGAGCACCCGTTACATCGCCATTTGTCAGGGTCCGCTTCGTCGTACGCGCGCAATTCCGCGCGTTAAGTCGCGCAGCCAACGCGATATTTCGGCCGACTGTGACAACTCGCGTTCTAGGATTTGTCACGGACCGATGTTTGCCGACAGCAAACAAACAAATAAACGCTGCAACGCGAAAGGAAACACATCGTCGAAGATTGCGTCTTTCTAAACAGCAGTCAAGATTTCACACAAGCGCCAACTTAAATAAACGCTTAATTTCGCGACGAATAAGGTATTCATTTCTCTGAGAGGAATAACAGCTGAGGGAGCAGTAAAGAGACTTCCATTAAGAATCAATGATCGTCACAAGTGCGATCCGGAACTGTCCCCGCGGTTCTGGGGACATTCAATTCGGAGCGGAATTCAGACTCGTCGTCTGAACAGACTTTGATCATAAGTGACACGCGCGACTTTACGGTAAACCTAAGTTCCAAACTAATAAGGCAACATCACGGTGGCGCACGATCGGGGGGGAGGGGACAAAGGTTGGAAGCAGAAGGGTCCAAGTTTCATGGAGCTGCGAACCGGGTCACCGATTACGACGCTGATCGTCTACGAGAGACAACTAAATTGGATAAGTTGAAGGAGCGGAATCTTCTTCGTCTCGCCTTCGTGTCCTCTGTTAAACTCCCCAAGATTCAACTCAGACATATATTTTTGACTTTCGTCTATCTTGCACAAATATTTGTTATCACAACTTATTTTTTATTTCTCTTTCTTTTTCTCTCTTTCTCAAGATATTTATTAAATTATTTAATTTATTTTGAATATAATTTTTTATAATAATATAAGATTTGTTAATTATCATACAGTAGTAGTTCTCAAAAAAGATAGCGCAATGTATTCTTACGTATATGTTCTGATATTTCGAGATCACAATAACAAAATCATATTCAAGGTTTTTGCAAGATTTTTTTGCGAAAGAAATGCATTTCACGCGGCGGACATTGCGGGAAAAATATTATCGCTGATAGAGCGCCACATTTGTTTTCCAGTTCGAATTTTCGCGTTGAAAGAGAACGAAGTGCGCGTGCTAGGTGGTTCGCGTCGGGTGTAAATTTGCATTGAACGAAATGAGGCGCTATGGGGCATTCCAGTCCGAAGTTAATAGCTTCCCAACGATTAACTGTATCCCTCCACCCATCCACCACTCGTACCCTTCCCCTCTTTCTCATCCTCTCTGTCTCTTCTCCGTTCATCCGCCACTCCGTGTGTTCGCTCATTCTCTCGCAACCCTCGCGCTCTTTCTCTCTCGTTCTCCATGTCTACACACACATACACACGTACGCGTCCTTCTTGCTCCACGTCGCACGCGCCACGTCCTAGCTACCTATATCGTCCTTTCTAATAATGTATGTCCCAAAGGTCGCGAAATAACTGACTTCGTCGGTCGACGTACGGCGAACATCGCAATTAGTCGCCGCGCGATCGAGTTCTCGGATCGTATCATTAGTATCGATGAAAATCACAAATGATCGATATTTCTCTCGAGAATATTGCTTGTCCACTTTTTTATCGCAATGATTGTTAGATTTTTGTTCGTCTAGCGGGAATCGTCAATGGCACGTAGGGCGAGGGAAAAGCAGCTCCGCTGCAGCAGCAGCCAATAGTTTCCAGGCGCGTGAAGGCGCCACGGGGGTTATAGGGCATAATTTAGTGGACAGTTTGATATACAAACAATCTTTAATGAAATTCTTGGTGTTCATTAATAACGCATTACAGCCTCGCGCGCCGGTGTGTCGGCATCGGTACCCGGGAATCCGGCGTTTGCCTCTCTGCCTCTCTCGCCCTTTCACTCTCTCTCTCCCTTCCTCCTCCCATTTTATACCCTTCCATTTTCCTGCTCATACTCTGATGCAGCCGCTTCCGTGTGTACCGTCGTCCAACACCCTTTATCGCCCCGGCTTTCAACCAACCCCTGCTCTTTTCAGCCGCCCGAGTGTCCTCGATGAACAGCGCGAATATGTTACACATTTAGTCGCGGTGACAGTTCGATTTTCTATCGAACATTATGCCGGCGCAAATCCAATGGTGTTTGTTTGGGAAATGATTTTTAAACGATATCGTAATTACTGATATTTTTTTATTATTGATGTGTGAGAATTATATAAAAGAAGATTCCAATAAGATTCGACAAGAATTCAACTCTTGGTGAATAAAAAGAAACGAAAACTCGTTGGCGTGTATCGTTTTGTGTAAAAAATATTCATTAGAATATTATTAAGACATTCTTATAGTTTTGTTTTCCCAACATATCTTCGCAACATGCCGCAACACGCGAGCTACTTTCATTTCCCACTCCGACTGTCAGCTCTCGCGAGGTTACATCGAACGGGAGAGACACGATACCCGATACATCGAGACGAGGAAGTCTCTCCCCATCGAGGAAACCCGGGGAATAACCAGCCTCTGGGTAGAGAAAAAAAAAAAAAGTAATTGCCCCTTGATACACGCCGATACCCCACCTGCGGGGCTGCCGCCTCGTAATGATGTTCGCGTTGGCGAACTTAGTTCGAAATTAAATATCGGGGCAAGGAGGTGGAACAGCGGGAACGGGAAACGTTGTCGAAGAGGAGGCATCGGGAGATTGCGCGACGGGAGAATAAGAAAGAACGACGTTGTGCACCTGCCTTTTTCCCGGGGGCGCGTCACGATAAAAATCAAACTGGAAAACAAACGAGAAGCGGGATCGTATTATAAAGTTTTTTAATCGATAGACGATGCGCGTCTCTCGGAGAGAGACGCGGGGAAGAAGCGGAGCGTGGGACGGGTAGATATCTCGCGGTGCGAGACGGGAAGAAAAAAAAAGAGAAGGAAGGGAAAGAGGGTCCAAAAGAGGAAACGGCGCGATCGGGCGAGGAATCCTGCGGCGTGCTTACTGGCTCGTGTAATAATGAATTTATACCTCGCGCGAGAACGCTTTCGGGAGTAGCGAGCGTACCACTTTTCTTTCTCGCTTCGCCTGCCTCTCTTCTTAGAATTTTAATTAATGAAGAGATCTTAGCACCGACGAAATCTTTCCTCGAAAAGGTCTATATTTCGCGAATGAGATTTAAGATTAAAGAATTCCCGAGAGTTTGATTTAATTCCGCCTCGCTTGCGCATCTTATTTATGCGAATCTCATCTTCTACATCTCCTCGATATGTGAATATGTATTATTTGAAAAGATAAAAAAAGTATCAGTATTGATTTAATAATAAAAAATGTTTTTTTTTTTTTTTAATTGTGTTATTGCGCAGTTACTTCTACTAACGGACTCGCCGATATTCGAAGTCACGAACGTGCTGATAAACGAGACTGCAACGCAGTTAGCGCTATGGGGCAACTTGGGCATCTCCCTCATGGAGCTACCGAAACGATGGGGCAAGGATGTCGTTTACGAGGGTGGCAAACAAGAAATTCTGTGCACGTAAGTATACACGCATTTACTCTTTTGATATCTATTAATAAAATCTATTAGTAAAAATTATGAAGACATTGTGATCATTCACAAAAGCATTTTGTAAATAACTCATCAATTATTCTTTACAAATAATCGTTACGTTAGCTCGATGTCAGTTCGAATCAAACGTCAATGCGGACGTATCGATCGCGATGTCACACACCGGTCGCTTCTGACCGAATTCGCAATTCCGAAAAGAAGCGCGCGCCAAGAAAATTTGACTCGTAAAAACGTAGATAAGGTTAGCGGCGGATAATAAATCGCGCTATCTGCCTTCCCCGCGCCGTGTCTCCCGTAGGCGTCCTAATATCCTGTAATTAAGAGGGTGTTACGGTGACGCCCGGGAAAACCCCTTCGGTCTCCCTCTTATGGAATTAAGGTGGCTTTACTCGGTTAGTTTTCAAAAGTTCCGGGGGGCCAGGAAGCACCGCTGAATACTAACCGCCTCATCAACGACACATGCCACCCGAGACTACTGTCTCGCGTAACATTACTCGGTGGTGTGTGCCGTCGCCGCTCCCGACCGTAATCTTTCGAGCGATTAGAACGTCGCGCAATTACGTCGCGCCGTTGGAGATTACGCTCGTTGCTGAATCGCCGTTGCTGAGTCGATCGTTGTCGATCATTCGTTCGAGCTTGTGCCTTCGTTCATAAATATCTATTGATATCTTGTAATATCGTAATTATCTTCAATCAAAATTGTAATATCTTTTAATAGTTTTTAGAATCTAAAAGAAAAAGAACATATTGAGAGAACAATTAAAAAAAAAACGACGGAGTATTCTAACATAAAATAAAATCAAATAAAATAAATGTCTACGTTTTTTTTTTTTAAGGAGAGAGATCATCGCGGTATGTTATAAAAGTTGACAAGAGGTAATCGAGTCTCAAAACAAAGATATGGGTATTACGCGCGCGGGGCAACAGAAATCTCAACTCTGAATTAAGCAGTAATTAATAGCAAAATACGATGACTCTTAATCCGCTCGCGGTATAAACGCGAAAAGGGTAAACGCTCGTTTTAAGTCGTTCTTCGCATTATAATTTCATAATAAGCTGAATTCAGAATAAATGCAGATACACCTTTCCCGGCTTCCTGCTAATTCGTAATTCCGAACTTTTTCCGGAAGCGAACGAATCGCTTTCCTCCGAGAGAAAGAGAGAGAGAGAGAGAGAGAGGAAGGGAGGAAACGAAGAGGACGAGAAAAAGAGGAAAGCAAAGCACAGAAAGGAACAACCGACCGCTGCTAAACAAACTGGCCAAATTAAGAGCGGCAGTTTGCGCGAAAGTTTTTTCGTCGTTTCACTTAGGCGATTTCAACCCGGCCTGTTCCGGGTTCGAGCGAATTTATTAAGAACGCACATAGAGAGAGAGAGAGAGAGAGAGAGAGAGAGAGAGAGCAGCGCATTATGCGTGCGCGAAAGATCGCGCGGAACAGTTCCTAAGTTAGTCGCGGCCGTTAGAACGAATCTCGGGGATTTAATGTCTGCCACCTTCTCTCAGCCGGCTTAAATAAGGTTAAATGAAGTTTATGCGTTATTGCCGGTAGAACTTCCGTTCGTCGTATCGCCGTAGCTTTATGCTGTGCGATTATCGCACTCCGCGACTCCGAGCAGCTGAACACGCGAAACATGACGCGATTCAGAAACGCGAACGTTCTTTCTTATCCGGAGAAAAAAAATCTGAAAGTTGTCGTTTGAAACTTTGAGGCTCTTTTGAATTTATCATAGACGAATATTTGACTGTCCGTTTCCTGAGTCGCAGATTGCTTCAGCTCATCTCAGATTCCAAAGTGTCGGAATAATTGGGATTAAAGATGCAAGACGGAACTTTCGATAGAGAGAACACGGCCGTCGTGTCTTCGTCGCGCGTCCTGAAACCGAATAACAGATCCCGCAAGCTTGCGAGCGGGGAAAGGCGAGGAGGATGGGCTTCGGATTAAGCAAATGGCGGCAATAATAGTGATTATTCGGATTATGATATCAGAGCGCGAAGCGGGTTCGCTCGGACTTACCGGCAGCCACTAACTGCCGTGCCGCCAAATCCTGACTTCAAGACACCGGATTAAAACTATTACCACTTCGCGGCACCCCTTCAAGCTCTCTCTCTCTCTCTCTCTCTCTCTCTCTCTCTCTGCCCACGCTTCATCTCGAGTTCTCTATCTCACCTTCGCGAAGACTCTTTCTGTGCGCTCTTCGGCATGTTTTAAATGTCCCCCGGGGGGATCAAGAATCTGGCAGGTTCATTTGTATGAGAACCGGAGCAAGTAAAAGAGATGCGCAAGACGTTGCTAATAGCAACAGTTTTTATTTCGTAGAATTAATGACAAATTTTTGTCATTTTGCTTGTGTTATCGTAATTACGCGGATACGGCAAGGACAAGTAAAGACTAGAGACGAAATACAAGTAAAGATAGAAAATCTTAGAAATCGTAAATATGAAAAGAGGACGAACTCTTAAGAAAGTAAATAACAATAAATAAGGACAGTTTAGCCGCAGTTATACAGTCTAGCCGGGGTTCCCCCTGAAGTAAACGGCAATACTCGGCCGCGGATAATCGCTATAGGAAGTAAGTACAATTCCTGGCGCATAATGCGGCCACGGTGTGGGTGTGAATCGCGCTACACACCGTCCCGGTATTAATTCGACAACGAATTGCGAAAGCGGCGCCATTCCGCGCGACGCCGGAAGATCGTCGCCTCTTGGTTGGCTCGCGCGGCTAATTATTGTTTTAAGGATTACCGTTATGTGTTTATTATGCGTCCTGGAGTATCTCTCTCGCCCTGCTCTCCCGCTCCCGTCATCCCTTACCTGCCTTAATATTCGGTAGATTTCAGCTTCTCCCGCCTACGGCCGAGAGAAATCTACGCCGCATCTTTCCTACTCCCACTTCTAACTCTCCACTTTCCCTCCTCTCCTCTCTTCTCCGCTAAAAGTCAGCCTACGTTTATGAATAATTCTCACCTCTTATAGCCACCCTCTCGCCGCTCCGCGAACCTCTACCCAATCCACTCGCCAGCACCGCGCGAGCGAGCGAGCGAGCGTCTCTTCGAACCACCCTCAGAGTATTCGCCTCGTAAACCCCTAATGCCGGCTCTTCATCTACGAGTACCCAGATTCTGAGCTCCGCGAAACGGGCGAGTTGTCGTAACGCCCGCAGCAAGAAAGCGGAAAGTAGATAATGGACATACGCATAATTACAGGCGCAAACATTCCCCACAATTAATCTTATTAAAGAATTTTCGTGGCAAACAAATTTCTAACACGGCTAATTATTTTTTTACTGTTTGTAATAAATTTATCTCGCAAAGTGCTTAAAAAGTTTCGCGTGCTGTGATTTAAAAAATTGAAAACAAAAAAAACGCATCATTTGTATTCGAACTATCTCGAAATTTATTGGCCCGATTATCTTTACGATGTATCGGCATTTAACAAAACCGATAACATTGCGAGCGATATCGCTGCAAACACGATGAATTGAATTTATCTATATATATTTTAGATCGAACAAAAAAATGCAGGACCACACAGCGTTCGGAGTGAAAGAAATATTTGTCTGGGCGTGATGTGCACGTAATGTTTATGGCGGCGAAAGAGCGTGAATGTGTACACGCGGCCGACTATTTTATATCTTCCACACGACCACACATTCCTCAAAATTTATATTAAAAACCATCGTATCGCGAGTTACTGTTTGCACAATGTAACTGCCAGATTGCGGTTTTTGCCACGCCCGAAAAAATATTCTGCTTCATATTTGCAGACTTATATGTACACATATAATCCGCGCATGCAGATTGAAGAAGAAAAGTTGCGTAGCAAAATAATTTTGTCAGTAGTCATTATAGTCGGTAGAAATGATGCAATTTTTTGCCCAGACCCGCGATATGGGTCAGTTCTACCTTATGTGAATTAATGTACACATAAATGTGTACATAAATATTTAAAACATTATTTATGTACGAAATTGAATCGACTTGGATTGACTGAAATTATTATACAATCAAGCTGCGGCGCGAAAGAGCTGCCGCGAACTACTGTCGCGAGTTACAATCATTTCAAGTGCGAATGTTTTACAAAAAAAAAAACGAGATTTGTTTTGTACGCGCGTGTTCTGATATTCACTTGAAACCGCTTCGGGTCGAAAGACAAACAATAAAGAAGACAGATTTACGAGGCGCCATAAAGCTCGCGGGCTAATCTGTCACGCGTGCAAGCTCATTTATTCCCGAACGCGAAAATTCCGCGGGAGCGTTGCAGAAACGGTCAATCGGATGGCGTGGCGCTAGAGTTTCTCGAGCATATGTTGAACGTGCTACGGAATATTTCACCCACGGGCTGAATCTCACCCCCGTTGGCGCGAACGCGCGGGGATTGCTCTCCTATCTGACCCGGCCGCCGTATTCGAAAGAGAGAAAGAGAGAGAGAGAGAGAGAGAGAGAGAGAGAGAGAGAGAGAAAGAGAGAGAGTGTGAGAGGGGGTGTCACGCGCGTTTATTTAAAAAATGATTTAACCTAATGGTTTTACATATGTAATCCCGATATAAACCCGAGGCTAATCTCGGGCGGCCACACGCGGTGTGCTGCGCGCACACATACGCGCTCACACACACACACACACACATGCACAACCCCGAAAGCGAGTGCTTCGTCTCCAAACACACGACATCTACCGGGCTCTCCATGCCGCCCCCACTTGGAATCTACCCCCTTTTTCTACTTTTTTTCGATGAGCAAGCACTAACGAAAATCACCGGCTTGCCGGCAGAAACACGGTTGTTTTCGGTGGCGAGCGAGGGATCGCGGCAGAGGGCAGCGAGGAGGAGGAAGAGGAGGAGGAGGAGGGGGAGGAGGACGGGGGTTGTTTGCGGAGGCCGAGCATAGGGTCGCGCTGTACTCGCGCGCGGGATGATTTAGATGGTCCCTGATGATATCCGCGCCTTTTGAAAAATGTCGGCACGCCGAGG